TGTCAAGTTTCTTAACATCTTTGTGCTTTAGTTTCTCATCTGAAAAATAGGGGTACCAAAAGTGCACTTCACGCAGTTTCTGTCAGGACTATGTAAAGTACTTAGAAAAACACCAGGAATTGCCAAATGCTGTATACGCATTTGCTACACTTTGCTATTAACAAAGGACTTCCTTGACCCACTCACGAATCCCCGAGCCAACTAAAGGAGTGCAAAGTAAGGGAGAGACTGATGTCTGAGCATCCATACTCGTTCATCTAATTTCAAACCCCAGGGTGACTAGCATCTGTGCTGAATATTACCAAGGGTCTGACTTTCTTGCAAAGTTTTCTAGAAGTTTTGCTCCAATACTAACCTCTTTAATCTTTCTTACACTGCAGAAGTTTTGTTATGGGAAATGAAATTTGAGAGGAAATATGTGTTAAAGGCCCCCCGCAGCAGGTCTGACACATAGTAGATACACAGCAAATATTGCTGGATCTGGAGGTGAGCCCCCTGCAGACGTAGTCTGGGAGTATCGCGGAGGGGCCCCAACACCTGTCGTTCGTTATGAGCGATGTTGCCTGCTGAGGCACCACAGAATGGTCACATGCACCTGGCCCGGGTCCCTGGTGGTACTTAGGACAGCAGTTTGGGTCCACAGTCAAGTGTAACATAAATGCCCACATGTCAGGCCCAGCTGGGTTAGAGCTTGTTGCCATGAATCCCCAGGAGGTAGAATTAAGTAGACCCTGGGTTTAGCTGAAAAATGTCAGTATTATTTCCCTGCACACGCACATGCGCACCACAGACACAGGGGGAGCCCTGGAGGGGATGAGGACACAGAGCCCTGCTCCCTTTGCCCCAAGACACAGGGCCTGGGGAAGGGCAGACAGCGAGGGGGGCCTGATACCACTGGCAGCCCAGTTTTGGTTTCATTTCTTCCTGTGGCCCATCTAACTAACATATGCTAGTGCAATTTCCTGCCTTAGTAAGTAGAATATATTGAATAAAACCAGCATGTCCTTTGATGATTCCAAACCTCCCAGGGTGTCGGTGTTGGAAAACACCCATTCTATCCGTGCATTGGATACATCACCAGCTCCAAGCAGAGCCGGTGTGGGCCTGGCAGTCAGGTCGACACCAGAGTGGGAAGACTTGGACTCCTGAAACACACTTAGCTTGCATATTCCAAATACAGCAGTGATCACGTTCACATGAATTGGTTCTGTCTGGCTTTTTCTTGAAACATCAGCCTTGACAGTCTAACTTTGCATTGCCCACTTTTGAAAGAGATGTGAGTTCAAGACATATTTTACTAGTCTTCTCACGAGTAATGGGAAATAGGAAAGCAATTCAGTTGACGATTAAGCCCAGCATGTGGTGCCCACGCTATTCCATCACTACAATAATAACAGCCTATATTTACTGAGCACTTTCTATGTGTCAGGCACCGTGTTAAGCTCTTGGCATGCAGTATCTCCTGTAATTCTCCTAACAGCCCTACGAAATAGGTACTGAGATTGTGTCCATTTTTCAGGTAGACAAACAAAGACACAGAAAGCTAAAGCAGCTTGTGCCAAGTCACATGGACAGTCAGTGGTGGCACAGAACTGCAACCAGGCAGTGTCTGGGGTCCACACAAGGCTAGTGGCCAGTACAGACCAGCGAGTCTTTACTACCTAAAAGGGGAAGAGTCTGGTCCCCCAGGCAGAGCTGGGCAGTGGACACAGGGAGGTGAAATCAAATCACAAACAGCTCAGAGTAGCCATGCTGGGCGGGCTCTGCCCTTGGCTATCCCCCAAGTTCTCAGAATGTCTCACAAGCTTCTTCTTGGCCACTCCCACCCTTTGCACAAGGCTCCTAAGTTTGCTCACTGTTCCCGGGATGGAAGAAGTCGTGGTTTTGGAAGCTACAGATGGAGTGGCAGATGGGAAGTGAAAGCCTATCAGAGTTGCCCAGGATAAAACCATTCATCTGCAAAATTCATATGTTTTTGTGTGGGGCGACTTCGCGAAAACAACAGCAAGAGGAACCAGCAGTGCTTGATGCATGAAGTGCCTCTGGCCGGCAGGCTAGCAGAGCACAGTGGGCAGAAGGACCTGGGGGTGGGCATGGAAATGAGAGCAGAGAAAGGCAGACTGATAGCGATGCAGAGACCTGGAGGATGGAGCTAAAAAGGCTAGAAATTGAATGACTGTCTCCTCTGAACACCCAAATAGGTGGCCTGGGAAAGGAATTCTGGGTCCCTCAGAGATATGAGGCTCAGCCATATACACAAGGGAATTAACCGTCGACCTTTACCGAGCATTTCTAAGTGCTCAACACTCTGCCAGGTTGCATTATTACAACCTGACTTCACGAAGATTCGGTTTACTTGATGATGGCTCTAGTTCTGCTACTGAAGTGGCAGAACTCAGACTCAAACCTTAGCCATCTGCTGAGAGTTGGAGCCCTCATCCTCTTGGATGATGAAATGCTAGAATTTCTGATATTCCTGAAGAGTGGACTTGGTTAAGTGGTCCCGGTTACATCCTACAGTGCCCAGGCCAGCCCCCATGGCACCCGGTGATCCAGCCCACTAGGTCAATAGAAACCCTAGTCTAGAAAGAGCTTCTCTTTCTCATTCACTTGCTAAGCCCTTCTTATCCTCAGGTCCCAAATGCACAGGTGCATATTCAGAGGCCCTTTGACTTCCTGATTATCCCAGTCTTGCACTCAGACCATCTCCCTTCCTTTTTAGCCCATTCACACCTTGCATGACGCTTCTCTTACCCAATTATCCAGTTTCATCGTCCCAACTAGGGTACCACCAGGTAAGGGGCTGTGTGGCTTTTGTTCCCTAAATGACCATATAGTGCCTAGCACAGTAGCTGCTTAATAAATCTTTGTGGAATGAATCTTTGAATGAATAATTAATTAATTAATTAAAAATCTGCCAGTGATGTTTCAAAATCACCCCTTTCTTTAATCCATGCTAGCTTACGAACAAAAGAAAATAGGTACCTTTCCACCCCACATCATTTTTATCAGGTTCAGAGTGCCAGATATACTCTGCCTGAACTGAGCAAAGACTGTGCCTTCTCCAGATGTCCTGCAGAGTCCAGGGTCTCCTGGCAGACGATGGAATGCCACCAAGCCCAGGACTGAAGGAGTGCACCACAAACCACACTGTGACGGAGACAGGCCACTTCTAGCTTTAAATAGAGCTTTTCCCTCCATGCCTGTATCTTATTTGGATCCTGACTCCAAAGCCAAACTCCTGAGAATATGTGGCCTCAATATTTCATGGCATTAGGAATGACTGTTAATATTTTAGATGTGATAATCATATTGATGTTATGTTCGAAGAGAGACGTATACTGAAATATTTACAGATACGGTTTTATGATGTTGTGGAAATGCTTCACTGGGGAGGGGGAAGAGGGCAAGAGTGCAAATGCAGCCAGGCTATGAACTGCTGTAGCTGGACAACGGGTCACGCTTATTAGTCTTGGGACTCTTGTGCATGTTTGAAAATTGCCCTGATATAACTCTGTGTGTGTGTGTGTAATCTTCACCCAAGGCTACATCCATTGACTTAAGAGAGAAAGGAAGAGAGAGAGAGAGGGAGGGAGAGAGAGAAAGAGAGAGAGAGAGAAACATTGATCAACTGGTTGCCTCCTGTGCATGCGCCAACCAGGGACTGAACATGCGACATAGGTATGTGCCCTGCCTGGGACTCGAACCAGCGACCTTTCAGTGCACAGGACGACAACACTCCAGGGAACCGAGCCACACAGTCCAGGGCAGTGTGCTTGTTTTCAGATTCCTTCAGGTAGCCTTCCTGGGAATGCTGTCCCCAGTGCCCTCATGGCACCAGAGGAAGGAAGGCCCTCTCCTTCACACACTTTGTCCCCTCTCCCCGTCCACTAGCTTTTGTTTTTCAGCTCTCTCAATAAATCAGGATGGGAGCCACAACTGAGCAGAGAACTGCCATCTTGATAGGACACATAGTTCATTTTCTTGCCTTTTGTTTCTGGAGGGGTTTTCTTTGCTTACGGTCTGTTTTACGGAGCAGATCGATGTCTGTGCAGAGAGACTTTCCCTGGGGCTGCTGGCTGCTCTGCCAGCCCCACGTAACTGTGGCCATGCAGGCTGCAGGCCCAGAGTGGGCACAAAGTTGAGAGAGGCTCAAAATCTGCACTGACACGAGAAATCTCCCAACGTAAAAATGCAGGCAGTCGATCCATTTTTAATTTGATAGGAGACCAAAAAAAAAAAAAAAAGCCTGAACATCCCTGGTCCTCAAATGTCAAAACCAACCTCCCTTCCTCTACTCGAAAGTCACACCTTGTCCTCCCCGGCTCAAAACATGCTGGTGCTTCCCATCTTACTTGAGTAAAAGCCAAATTCTAGAATCTCTATGATCTTGCCCCAAGTTTTTCACCTCACTTACTCTGTTCCAGCCACACGGGGCCCGGTGCTCCTTCATCACACCAGGTGTGTTCCCACCTCAGGGCCCAGTACCTGCTGTTCCCTCTTCCGGGATCACTTTCCCTGCCGAGTGACTCGTGCCTCCCTCCTCTGCCACTCTTCTTGGGAAGGATGGTCCTGGTCATGCTGGTTAAAATGACAACCCTCCCCTGTATTCTCTCTCTGCTTTGTTTTTCCTAGGTGGCATTTGACTTATTTTTTATCTGTTTCTCTGACTTGGACGGAAGCTCCGTGTGGGGAGGCGTGATGGACCCTTTAGTGTTTCCTTAAACAGAGCAGGAAAAACCACGTACTCAAGAAATACCTGTTGAATAAGTGAATGAACGAATGGATGAATGAATGCACAAATGATTATCGGGTCCAACACGGGTCCTATGCTGAGAGATCTATGAAGACAGAGATGTCTGTCACGGATAAGAAATGCTTCTCTGGACAGGAGGCAAACTGCCTCTGCCTCTTGTTTCCCTGCCAAGACGAGGAAATGAGAGAGGGAGCGGGACCTCAGCGCAGGCTGCAGGGGCTGCCGGGGCTGCAGGCCACCTTACCTGATGGGGTAGTCGGCTGCGCTGAGGTTGATGAAGAAGTCCCAGGGCCAGTCGGTCATCTCCAGGAGGTCCCGCATGCTCTGTAGGTATGTGGACAGGAGGCTGGCTCCTCCCCAGATGGTGGCCATCCGCCAGGGGGTGACACGGATATTGTCGTACTGGCTGGCGAACTGGAGCACTTGGCGGTGCAGGTAATTGGAGCGCTTTTTCCCAGGAGAGAAAGGAAGGACATTCAGCAGCCCAGGAAACAGCCAGACATGCCCTTTGTCCCCTCTCTGTCCCTTCCCTTCTAGCTGACAGGGTTTCTAAACTTTGCCAAGTAACTGGCTCAGGCCTGGGGCATCTTTCTGCATTGCTACTCGAACCTTTATTATTTTTAAGATTTTGCTTTAGTGATTTAAAACGCAGATTTCCTGGCCCTGCCTCTCACATACTGGTTCAAGAGGAGCCTGAGACTCTGCATTTCATATAAAGCTGATACATGTGGTCTGAGGATAGCAAGCTTTGAAACGTGGCTATCAACCCTGAGATGCATTCTGAGGGGTGGAATGTCTCTGTTACCCTCGGACAGGCCTGCTAGAAGCAGACCTTCAGATCAAGCATCCCTTTGCCTTTTGAGTAAGGCTACTCTTACCACATCAGCAGACTACCAGAAACCTCTGGGACAAGAGAGCTCAGGGGCCAGCAAGCCTGCTGCAGGCTTTTGTAAATGAAGTTTTTCTGGGCCATAGCCACACACTTTCATTTACGCATTGTTTATGGCTGCTTTCACATGACAGTGGCAGATTTGAGTAGCTGTGACAGAGGGTATGGCCTTCAGGTGTAAATATTTACTATCTGGTCCTTCATAGAAAAAATGTGCCCACTCCAGGGGCAGCTGTCCTTAGTGGACACTGAGAGTGTACCGGCCAGTGAGACAGAAGGAGCAAAGGTAAGAAAATGAGTGTCTATGGGGAAAGTCTGACGTCAGAGCTGGGAACTCTGAAACCAAAACCTGCACATGCTCACAGCGCTTCAAGACCAAACACTCCTGGGAGAGGCAGCTGTTCAGCCCACTAGCCTTCCCTGAAAGGGAGGGTGGCTTGAAGGGTGGCAGACAGATCCACAGAGAAAGACCAGCAGGGGGCAACTGGAAGGGAGTCTCACCTTGTCCACATGGATATAGTAGAAGTGGTCTTTGTGGTAAATGGCCTTGAACATGCGCTGCAGCTGCCGAGAGGCACGGCCGTGGACCACCAGGACAAAAGCAATTCGGACCGGGTTGGCCAGCATGTACTCCACGGAATCCTCATCCCATTGGACATTCTTGTTGGCTTTGCCTAGGGAAAACCCGAAGATCACAGAGGTGGCTAAGTATCAGCAGTTCCTTTGGGGACAGGTTCCCTGATGCTTCTTCATCTTGGGGACTACTGAAGGGACACGATAGTCTTATTGGGCCCTGAAACCTGATTCGACCTAACCAAGCATGTCCTGGACCCTTATGCTGTCCTCTGCAACAGGAGTTGGGGACCTTCAGGTGCTTAAGTCATAGTTTCCAACTCCAAGGAGCTTTAAAAAGCTGGTGGAGGCATATAGGCACATACATTAAACTACTGAACACAAGGGGGTGAGAGGTGTAAGAGATGTATCTCTGAACTACAGAGTAAAGAGCAGTTAATGCTGAACTAGAAAGTGTAAGACACCTGCGCTGCTTCTGCCTGTCTGGGATCCGTTCTTCTATTCCCTCCTAACATCATCCATTTTTTAAACAATTGTGGTGAGGAAGGATAACATAAGAGCTACCCTCTTAACAAAATTTAAGAGTACCGAATAGTATTATTGATGGTAAGTACAAAGTTGCACAGAAGACATTTGAAACTTACTCATCTTCCATATCAAAAAAATATATACCATCCAACATTTTGGGAAGGATCGTCTCCCCCCTCTGTTCTCAGTCCACACAGATGGGGAGGGCCTCCCTCCCTCGTCAATTCCCAGGGCGTTCACGGGGCTTTGGCTTTGCCAGTGAGAACACTGCCTCTCCCTGGACATGGTTCATGTGACTCAGAGGTGCACACGTGACCCAATGAAGCTAATTAGCCAAGAAGACAGAATTCTAGACTTTCGTTGAAACAACTATAGAAGAGATGTTCTTTTCTGGTACACATGAAACTGTGTGATTCCAAGAGGCCTTCTGTCCCCACCTGGAGAGGGGCTGCCTGAGAGGGCGGCCAGCACAGAGACAGCCCTGCCAAGTGACAGAGGGGGTTTGGATCCTGATGACCCCACTTGAGCTCGCAGGTCAGCACGGCTGGAGATCAGCCACCATCAGTCACATCCTAGTTTTCTTTGAAAGCCTACATCTTACACAAGATTCACCTGAATAATTGGTTTCAAATGTCTTTTATCCCAGAATTTTCTCCTCCTTTTCCTTGCGAATGCACCAGGAGCAAGGTTTCACAGAGAAACACAGCTTACTGGTTTAGTTCATTACAGTTCCAACCAGAGATCTCCTGGCTTTCTTCAGCCTGATTTCCTCTGAGTCTAGCCTGACTTCTCATGGGTTTCTAGGTTTATGGGCCCAGAGCATTGCCAGGGCATTAGCTGCATGTCTCCCACAATGTTAACTGGGGAGGCTGAGAAGGGGGGCTGTTAGCCTGGGGGTCAAGAGACTGGGAGCCTGTCAGCTGTCACTGGAAAGCTGAAGGGCTGCCAAAGGAACAACATATCTTCTGCCTTGTTTCAGAGGATGGAATGAGATTTACGTGGCTAATGACCAGATCCTAATGGCCCAACCTCCTCAGCCTGCATGACCTGCCTCCTGTAGACCTCTGCCCTGATCGGCCCTACTACTTACCTCGCTCCCTGGCCTTCTTCTTTCTTTACCTTGAGCAAACTTGTTTCTGCCTCAAGACCTTTCAATGGCTATTCTTGCTACCTGGAACACCCCTTCCTTAGATCTGTGCATGACTGTGTCTCCCTGTCACTAGTTTGCAGCTCAACAGAAGGATACCCCCAACCAGCCATATCCCTCTCTCACCTCGCCCTTTTCCGATTTTCTGTAGAGTATTTAACACTCTCTGAAATTGTTTACTCATTTACTTGTCTATTGTTTAAATACCTCACTAGAACATAAACTCCAGGAGATTAAGGACTATTTAGTCTTGTTTGTCATTAAATATATAATATTATAATAATAGCTAGCACACATGTGGTTCTTGGTTTAAAAAAAGTTCCAGGAGGGTCCATTTTGGTTCAGTACCATAGTAATAGCAATAAAGTTTACTGAGCACTGATCAGCCTCGACATTATTTCACGTAATCCTCATAACTACCCTGCAACATAATGGTATTATTCCCATTGTGCAAAGGAGGAAACCACAGCTTAGAGAGGCCAAGGGATTTATTTGTTCTAGGTCACGCTGCTTTAATGAGTTCAGCTGAGATTCAAACCCAGGTCTGTTTCCGAAGCCGATGCCCTTACCCACGAATATACACCGTATTAGCATATCCAGAATTTGGAAAAGTTTACGACAATTCTGTTTGTTAGTTCGTGAAATATGTTGTGAGTTACTGCAGGTAAATAAGCATGCATTTGAGCACTATCAGAGGCATTGCGGGGAGGATGCTTGCATCATGTGGGAAGCTGACTCTGTCAATAAACATACATCTTTTCTTCCATCCATCCACCCATGCATCTGTCCATCCATCCATCTACCCACCCAGCCATCCATCCAGTCATCTATCCATCCATACAATTCCAACCACTCATCCAGCAAACCATTTAACTACCCATCTAGCAAATTATTCAACAGCTTCTCACCTAAAAAAACCAACCATCCATCCATCCATCCATCCACTCACCCATCATCCTCAAAGTAAATCATCTGTGAATCTACTCTTCAATCATTTAACTATCAACTCATTGATCCATACAATATTAGCTTAGTCTGTACCACATGCCATGTTCTGGGTTAGGTACTAGAAAAATAAAATTTGGGAGAAAAAAAATCCTTGCCTTTGAGGAGCTCTCAGCCAACTGTGGAAAACAGAAAAAAAAATGCTGAATTATTTTATGATAGAAATGTGTTCAGGTTGCTCTTGGGGGGTTGGGAAGAATTGAACAGTTTGTCTGAAGAGACTGAGGAGACCTGAGAGAGTTTCGCCCAAAGCTTCCGAGCCCATTTCTTCAAGCTTTTCTGACGAGTCCTAATTGTCTTTGGCTCTTTGGCTGTTCAGTCAGCAGCTGTGACCCTGGGGATAACCATCCTCCTGGCTCTGGTTGAAGACGGACTGGGCAGCAACCAGAGGGGTGTCTACAGCACCCTCTAATCTTCTCTCAAAACCAACCACCATACTCTGGGCTTTCTTAGTGTCCCCCATACAAGGGGGACATCTGCCTGGAGGGAACATATTCCTTTAAACACTCACAAAACAATCTATCCCTCCCTCCCACCTTCTCTCTATCCAACCAACCAACCAACCAACCAACCACAAAGTATCCTTAAGACATTTATCTCACTTGCTAGCCCCGGACAAAGCCTGGACAAAGACATGCAGGACATGAGTGTGGTTTCCCAAATGTATTATGAATGGATTAAGGAATGTGAAAATCTAAAGTAAAAAAATAATGTGTGAGAAAAGCTTCTATTCTCTTTCCACGACTACGGTCAAAGGCAGTGTGCTGGCTGGGTGTGAGCTCTTCTTGCCACCCTTGGAGACTCCTTATCAAACAAAAGGAGGGATGCTTAAAAGCACCTGCTACTTGTGCCACTTTTCGCTACTGGAATTTCACTGGGTGATTTTCAAAGGTCTAAGCATGGTCCATGACCCTGTATTTCATAGGAAGTCCACTCTGTAGAGGACCCTGCTGCACTCAGATAATACTGCTCATCCCTGCCCTTAGGTCTCTGGGTAACAAGGATCTGGAATTCTTAGGGATTTAGACTCACGGGGCCTTTGGGATCAGCCCATGCTCTCTCCAGCCAAAGTGTGTCTTGCCATCATGTCGAATGGGTGAATGAATGAATGAGTGCATGCGTGCATTCTGGCAAAGGGTGGCTGGTCTGGTTCAGAGGAGCTGATGTCTCCTGAGGGCCTGCTGTGCACCGGCACCGTGCAGAGGCTGTGTCAGTTGCCGTTTGGTTCTGGGAAAAAGGTGCTCAGAGAGGCTGGAGGATCATTTTCCCCAGTCACACAGTGACCGAGGACAGAGGTGGGAGTGAAAGTGAGTGGCTGAGCCCATAGCTGGCCTTGCTATCTCCACCTCCCCCTCTGCTGAAGCGAACAACTGGGAGACTGGAGGATTGGTGTAAAGATTTTGTGCTGGTCTTCAAAGGAAGCGGCACACTGATCTTGAGAAAAGCCTTTTGTGACATCTCTTTAGGGTTTTAGAATGAAGAGGAGATTCATGGATGGACGGACTAGAATGAGGATGTCTCCCTTCTGGAGAAGGGGAGGCAGCACTGGGAAATCAAACACTCTTACTCCAGCATCCTCCACTTCAATATACAGTCAGGGGTCACATAGTTTGTGGAGTAGCAAAGAGAAGCGGGAATAAAAACCCAGAATTCTTCTGGGGGAGAGCTATTTTGGGGGTAGGGGTAGGCAAGAAGGACCAAAAATATCCAAAGAAAGAAGACACACACAGAGAGAGAGAGGGATATGGGGATGAGAGGTAGGCGGACAGACACTGAAGAGAGACAGAGACAAAGAGAAAAAAGGACAGAGACAAAAAGACAAATAGAGAGAAAAAGATAGATGATTGATAAATGGATGAATGGGTAGATAGATAAATGAACGAACACATGGAAAATAAGCAGGAACACAGAAAGGCCACACATACATTGATAGTAGAACAGCCAGACCTTCAGACAGAAAGACCCCCCTCTGCCCCTTACTCCCTATATAACAAGAGAAACATATGGAGAGACCTAAACAGAAACAGCAAGAGAGACAGAGACACACCCAGATATAAATAAAGACAAACGCATATAATTACACACAGAGAGACAGGGAGAGACAGAGGCAGGAACGTAGCCACACTGGACAAGCCAGATCCATTCAAACTGCAAACATTGCAACTACCCTTAAAAACAAAGGCACACAAGCACCAAAACCTCAGAATTAAAAAAAAAAATGCTTGTCCTGCCCCGTCTACCTCTGTCCTTTACACACCGGCCCCGCCCCCTCACCCAGCCAGCTCCTGCCCTTTCAAGAGCCTAGGGATGCAGGAATAAGTCAAGGAAGAAGTCAGAGCTCAGAGATGTGAAGCAACTCACTCAGGGACCCATCAAAAGTGGTGGGACACTCGCAGGTTGGCTCCAGAATCCCATCTGTGA